CCGCCCCGCAAAAAGCCCCGACGCCGTCGTTGCGATACCATCAACCCCGGTCTCGCATGCCCTTTCTACGTACGCGACCCACAACGCTGTAAACATGACTCTTGCGTCTCGCCAGGCTTCCTCAGCGTCCACAGACTCAAACAACATCTAGAACGTGTGCACCTATACTACACATGTGAACGATGCGGGGCTACATTTCAGGGAAACGCAAAAGGAAGACAAGACCTAGCCATGCATCAACGCAACGTCCAGCCATGTCAGCTTGTGAAGAAGCCAAGCCCAGAGCTCTCGACTTTAAGCCATGCGACATTCAAAGTGATGCGGTCCAAGCAAGGTGCAGCGGGGAAGTCGGAAGAGGAGCGATGGCGTGAGATCTACCGGCTCATATTTGTAGACGCTGATGAGAAGGAGCTGAGAAGAGCTTGTGAGTTTTATGTCACCTAATTATTGGATTGGCCTACTAACTGTGATTTGATGTCGGCACGCAAAGCGCAGTACTGGGATGTTCAGATCGCGATGACAGGTTATCGCAATGCGAAGAGTTGCACAACACCTCTCGACAACTGCTTCGCGTGTTACCCGAACGATTGGACGCATCCATCAAGAGCCGCTTGCACGATGACAGGCTAGCCGCTATATGGCGTGAGTTTGCGGATGACCAATTACACGACTTGATAGAAACTCACCTTGCCGACTTGTCTTCCCCAGGCCATAGGATAAATCGAGATAGAGCGTGTGATAAGATTGATGATCTGTCTTGGTTTGATTTGATAGACTACAACAAACTGTAACGAGGATCACACTTAACCCGCCGCGATTTCGTAACTCTACCCTGCCAATTTTCCGAATTTACTCTCCCAAATCCCTTTCGCGAAGGCGTAAAGTCTATCAAGCCTACACTGCATCATCCACCGACATCCAGTTTTCTCGAGGTTGAAACTCAGTGGCGTATTGGCGTCGCACCCGTGATCAAAGACATCATTGTAAAGGTCTTTACCCTCCCTGCTGAACGCAAGACGTAGCCTCTGCTGGAAGGCTGCAGCATAAAGGGTTTTGTAATCCTCATTGTGGTGGCAATGTGTCCCCAAAAGCCTCCTGAGTTCCACTTCGTATAGCTCCTTCTCATACGCAATAGCTTTTTCCCACGGATCTGGGTCCGGTGTGGTAGTCTTGGTGATGACACCATGCTCGGCCTTGACCAGGTTCGCGCGTATGCCTTCCTCCGCAATCTCGTAGAAAGATGGACCTGGATCCTGGTGCCGCCGTACATATCTCTCCTCCATGAACAGCGCATTCATCAACGCTTTCCAGTCGCATGTGACTCGGCAGCTGAAACGCCCGTCTTGCTCTTGTGCAGGAAACTTAAGGTCGAAAGCACGCGTCTCCGCACTACCGACGAAAGTATACCGTCCATCCGGCGCATCAAACCAGATGGCCTGTACAAGTTCTTCAAAGCCATAGCCAGCTGTCCACATAGCTACGTCACCGTACGCTTTGATCCATGTGGCATCGTGCTCCAACCTCCCACATGAGGCAGTGTCTTGCCACAGGGTAGACCGTTCCTCCGGACGCGGCTGGCCTGGACGCAGAAGGAGAGAAAGCGTTGAAGATTTTGGGTCGATGGAATGTTCGTCTGTGGTAGCGATGAGGTTTTTCTCTATCCGACCAAATTGAATGTGGGTCCACTCGATGTGAAGGATGGGAAGAAAGGTCGCTCGGAATGTGCGCTCGGCCTCTTTTCTCCAGGCTTGCGATACTTGACGGCATGCGACCCATATCACGAATGGGTCATCGACGCTTTGGAGGACTTGGATGAACAACTCGTCCGGCAGGTGGGGTAGGCAGGTGCTGGCCATCTTTCACTCGATTGCAATACAACGACAATGCCGTTGAGAAGTTAACATCGGATTCTGGGCCTGAAGATCGTGTAATATACAACGCGCGATATTTGTAGATGGAGACTGCTGCCTATTAAGCGAAATGCAACCTTGGAAGGATGCGCTTCTTGCCGCGTCTCGGTCTGTAGCGTCACGCATCATCAGCGCTAAATGAGAATGTAATCAGGCTTCTACAAAGCTTCGTAAATAGGCGGAAGATATTGCGGAGCTTTAACGCCAAAGCAGACGGCCGTGATAGCCGGAAGCTAGCGGGGAGATACCGTAGCGTGCCCCGCACCCATAATGATTCTTTATCAGGAAACGGTAGAAACCTAAGAGAGCACTTACGTCACACTGCTAAGATCCCACATGCTGTCTTACACAAGTTCTCCTCCATCACGCCGAGTGTTCATACCACTGTACTACCGTGAGAACTTGTTGAATTCTTTCGTCTTGACCATTACCTAATCTTTCTGATCTCCCACTCACCTAAACTTCGAAAAATGGGTTTAATGTACCCTGTAGTTTGCGCCGCTCGGCTACCCGAAGAGGTCAGTGGGGTGTATCCTCTCCATAGCTTCGGCTCAGCACTGACTCCAAGCGAGGGATGCAGACTATAGATCTTTTCATCAAGGAAACTCGCGACGAGGAGGAAATGTGGAATATCGTTTTTGTGGACAGCATTGACGACTATTACGACGAGACATCAGGGGTACCAGGAGAAGACGGAAGCGACCCAAACTCTCCATTCATTGGAAAGACGCCCCAGGAATGTCATCAACTACTCTTGAAGCTTCGCGAGGATACAGAGTCGGAAATTTTCACGGAAATTTTTGCCATCATGGACGAGAGATCAACAGAAGACAACACTGTACTGCTCGTGTGCGCAGAGAGGGACTTGGGCGGGGAGAACGAAGTCTTGGACCTGGCGACTGTCCGTGCTACCTTCAAGGCTGCATCTACCGCGCTGATGCTATATGAAACGGGGCACAGCAGTGTAGGGGAGGATGCGGAACGTGCTGCACGTGAAAAAGACAATGTTTATCGTGGAAGGTAGTCTACTCATGCATAATGTGGACTAAACGGCATCGATCGTTTTGCAAGACAGGAAGAGCTATCTTCTAGCGTCCATAGGGGATAGCGATTGAATGTATCAAGGCCGCAGTACGTTTGGTCGTGAGGAGCGACGTGAGCCGCAGCGTTGTCGCTCTGGGGTTCGTAGACCGCACAGAAGCCGCGCTGAGTAGCTTTTGTTGTTGTGTTGGAGGCAGGCATTAAACGTACAAATACGGTGACATTCTATTGCGCTGCGATTTGCAACGGTATCGAAACCGAACTTTAGATTGCGTTCAAGAGGAGGTGTTGGTTAGGTACAGGAGGATGCGCACCAGGGAGAGATGACTGACGAACCTTATTGCGCTAAGTCACATGCCTTCGCGTTTAGCGTGAAACCTCAAATTAGCGTGTAAGCTCCCCCGCGTCTTCTCTCTGACACTTCAGCATTCAGCTCCAAGTCCGATAACCAGGGTGCAGCAGGTCTTGGTGCTATCATCGAAACGACAATACGTCGATCCTCCGTCTCTTCCAACTTGCCAGGCAACTTTCCGACTTCCCGTCCATGATGGCTAGTGCAACGTCGTCGACTCCGTTCCGCTTCCGCGACCTCCCCGGAGAGGTAGGCCCCTTCAGATCCCCTGAACGTGCTTCGTGCTGACTTTGCTGCCTATCAGATACGCAACAAAATCTATCGCATCGCTCTATGCAGCTTCAGCCCGCCACCGACCACGATAACGATACAACCCTCGTCATTCCTCACCGCGACACTTGCAGAACATCAGGTCGAGACCGCGATACTGCGTGTGTCCAAAGAAACATACCGCGAGGCTTATAGTGTCATGGTCAAAACCAATCGTTTCGTAAAGGTCACATCGTCGCGAGGGCTTCCCATGCGCCTTGCTATGGCAGGCCAAGCGGTCCGGATGATCGCCATCGACAGAGACATTGTTGATAGATTCAAGGGATACGTGCTTGGTGTGCACATTGATTTCAAACTACCACAATTCGCACGTTCCCCACTTGACTCCGAGAACCTACGTGAACCTGTCACCGCGATGATCCTTTACAGCGATCTGGACCGGTTTTGTAAGGCATTAAACGATGGGGATTTACATGATCCGGGGTTCAGCGAAAAGATCAAGATCTCAATCACCATGGCGCCTGTCTTAGATGTTGCGTCAAGTAACACACTATCACCCGACCTCAACGGTTTCTTCACCAAGAAGACGCAGGAAACACTGTTCAAGCCGTTCATGGACAATCTGTTTGGATACGGGGCCGTCGAAATTAAAGGCCATGTCGACAGTGCTCTGGCAGCTACCGTTCGTCAAAGTCTTGGGCAAGACAGATGTTTCAATCCGGCGGCTGTCCTCGCCGAGTTTGCGGCCGCGAAAGATCGCGGGTCGCAACAGTTTAAGGACCGCCAATTTGAGGAGGCCGTCATTGGTTGGCAAGACGCCGTTTACGATATGGACCAGTCACGTGAGTCCAATTCCTGGCCAAATGTAGTTCGCAAGGGAGGTGATGCATTTGTTGCGGAAATGGCTGCGCTATACTTTCTGATGCAGCTCAACATCGCCCACATTCAGATCGCGAATATGCAGAAGAACGCGTTTGGCGCCGAGCTATTGGCCGATGGCGCGCTGAACTCTGCAACTCGGTCGTTGCAGCCAGGCTTCTGGAAACCTGGTTACAAGTACAGACCTTCGCCTCAGCAGTTCGCCAAGCTGCGCTATCGGTACGCAATGTTCATGAGGCTGGAAGGAAACCCACAGAATGCGAATCGCGCTTTGAGCTTCATCGATAAAGCTCTCGTGTCACAGCCGGGTGACGGTGTACTTCTGAGAGAGCGTGAGAACATACTGGGGTGGATACAACGGCTCTGATTCCGCATTTAGCAGTCTCTGAAATGATCTGAAATGCCTTTCACAATCTTCTATACTGGTGCCTGGGGAAGCTAGGACCTCTTGGCTCGTGCTCGGGAGCCTGCCACAGACGACCCCAAATTGAAATTACCTGTCGTTCTTTCTTCCGTTCTCTCCTCGCTTCTCCGCCGGAACTGATATCATGAAGTTCCGCAAGCACGCCCGCCGTCTCAAGCGGTGCGCAAAAGCCATGATATCCAATTCGACTCAGCCCTTCCGCTTCATGGACTTACCCGGAGAACTGCGCAATCAAGTCTACACCCTGTTGCTATGTTCGTTCGGACCTCCTGTCGAGCAGACAGTCAGAAAACTCGGCGTGCCTATTGCATCTGCTGGCCACCGCGCAGAGACAGCCATCCTTCTCACCAGTCGTCAAGTTTATCTTGAAGCCTACGACGTCATGGTGAAGGCGAACCGTTTCGTCGTTGTCCGCGCATTCCCGCCTATACCAGTCATGGACATCATCCGGCAGAGTGTTGTAACGGTCATCACATACAACGATTTGCATATCTCTCAGTTCAAAGGCCACATCCTCTCAGTTACATTGTCGATGCCAGCGCCTTCGCACGAGCCGCCCATGAGCGTCATGCTCCTCGCCAGAGATCTGCCATCGTTCTGTGAGAAAATCAATCGATGCACTCTTAACAACACTCTCATAGTCGATGTGGATGTCGCACCTCTGCTCGGCGAGCACACTTCACTTCACAAAGACTCGTTCGACGCCTTTGTTTCGGAAGAGATACAACTCAGTCTACTCGCTCCATTCAAGACCCATATGCGAGGCTTGAAGAACGTCCGTGTACATGGTCGCGTGTCGCCCGGGCTTGCGATTGCGACGGCGAAGGACATGTGCCAGAATGAATGGTCGGATCCTACTGAACTGCTTCACCAACTCCAAAGCCTAAAAGAGCACGCAGCTGCGAAGTGGCAAGATGGCTCCCGCACGGAAGGATCAAGGGTATGGTCTGCGTGTTCGACAGAGATCGGCCGTGTCCGCGCGTCGTCATCATGGAGCAACCTCGTCTTGCTGGGAGGGGATTCGTTCGTCGATGCGATGATTGAGCTAAGGTTCTCATGCTGCCTGAACCATGCCTATGCTATACTGGTGATGTTCAGCGTTGCGATGGAGGATGGTAAAGTTGGAAGGCTTAGGACCACCTTTGGCAGCATGTCATCGCGTACCTTTACTGCCGCTCACGAATGCATGGAGATAAGTCTTTGGCAGGAAGGTCGCACATGGAGTCCGTCATGGGCTCGTTACTCGAAGCTTCTTTACCGACAAGCGCTGGTCTATCTCCTACTCGGTAGTATCGGAAACGCGGACGGAGCGCTCACTATAGTCGAATGTGCCCTCGAACGCTCGCCTAACGACACACCTTTCCTGGAATTACGTGGCGCCATACTCCGATGGATCGCTTCTGGCTGCGACTTCGATGCCGATCGGGCTTCAGTTCGCATTCATATGTCTGACAGCGGCGACATTACAGTCGACATGACAACCAACATGTAACGTATATACTGTCTGCTAGGGCTACGATCGCGTTCCCGCTCTGGCTTATGAGACGCGCTGGCGTATGTGGTATCGCGTCTACGGCGGTATGCCACTTAAAGTAGACACATATATGTAGGATTCAAATCTTGGTCACTGTTCTCGCTTCAAGTTGATGTGATATTTCTCGTCTCTGTCTAGTCCATCTGCCGATCTTGCACCGGGGCATGCGGTGCTTCGAGTCTTCATAACTGCAGTCACCTGCAATGGCTGATGCAATGCGGTTCGTCGTTGACATGGTGACGTAGCATCGACTCACTTAATGTCTTCCTCCCTTCACCGTGCAGCTTAGGCAGTTCCCGCTGCGTCACCGCCACGCTCGGACTCCGAGTTTGCTTACTACGCGCTAAGCCAAGTTGAGCGCACGTGGGAAACCAAAATACAGAATGTCTCCCGCCTTCACCCTCCGTCCTCCTCACGTCAAATCCTCACTCGACCCCGACACAATTGTCGCGACGACGACTTCCACAGTCAACGCCAATATGGCTACCACCGATACCGATGCGCCCTTTCGCTTCATGGACCTTCCCGGAGAGCTCAGAAACAAAGTGTATACTTTACTGCTCTGCTCGTTCGGACCTGCCCCAGATCCGATCCAGGAAATCCCCAAAAACCTGCTTACGGAGGGAAGCTTTGAGCCTGAACTTGTCTCCGCTCAGCACTGCAACGACCCTGCTATTCTTCGTGTAAACAGTCAAGTTCATCGCGAAGCCTACGACGTCATGGTCAAGACCAACAGATTCGTTCGGATCAGTTCGCCCAACAACTTGTCCCTCAACAATGTTATCGCTGGCAGAAACATCCCAGTTGTTGCGAGTGGACAGCTTGCAGCGGATTTCAACGAGTGAGTCTAAATTTGACTGCCTGTTTCACTGACTGAAACTTCTAACACCCGATTACAGGCAACTTGTCGATATCAATATACCTTCCGCGGGTCTGAGTCCCAACCGGCACGCAGACGACGATCAACCAGCAAGTTTAGTCATTCTGGGCTGTTATCTTGAGAAGTTCTGCAACAGCTTCGAGATGGCAAAAACCATTATGCCCGGGCTCGCCAACACTGCGAATTTCGTCATAACTGTAGCTCCGATGCTCACTCATAAGGGCCCATGGTACCAGGATGATCTGACAGACTTCTTTTCTGAATCTATTCAAATGGACTTGCTTGGGCCACTGGCTGGCATGCGAGGCATCAAAAACGTCGAAATTCATGGTCCTGTCGCACCCGACATGGCAACGGAACTGAAAGACTTGATGATGTCGGGAAAATGGAATGATCCACACAGTGTTATCGACTTCTTGAAGGAGATCAAAGACTATGGTGCCCAATATTATCGTGAGGGTCGGCTGATGGAGGCTTTCTCCACTTGGGGAAGCGGCATGCATGAGATCGATCGCTTGCGCGAGAGCATCACCTGGGAAAAGCTCGTCAAGATTGGCGGAGAGCCTTGGATTGACCAAATTGCTGCGCTGCAGTGCTCACTTGGACTCAATTCGGCACTGGCCATGATCAAGCTTTGGGGCCCCGACCCGAAGAACGTTGCCATGCCACCGGAAGCTCGAAAAGCCCACAGGAATCTGGCCCTGGTCAGCCTTTCAACATCTGCTAAGTGTAATGAACCAGGATATTGGAAAGAGGGTTATACATGGGTATGCTCTCCGGTGCTCAAGGCGAAGATCATGTACCGTCATGCTTCGTGCATTCGGCTTTGGGACGAGAGATCGCAGGCTGTCGTTGCCCTGGAACTCATCCGGGGAGCTATGTCACTTGTACCGAACGACCCTGTCGTCCGCAAAGAGGCGGAGGCAATCGTGATATGGGCACGTAGTATGTGAGAGAGTTGTTAGTATCTCTGGAGCGCGTGGTAGCTTACTGTACGCTGGATTGAATGGCCACGCGCTCGATCGGATGGCTACGAGAGTTTGAGTTGGCGAAAGTTTTCATTCGAGCGACCTGAACGTATGGTCGTCGGAGGATTGGAGTGGCTCTTCGGCCGTGGATAAAAGGGTGCACACATGGAAACCAATACCGCAGCTGACGAGGTATGCGCATAGGGGAAGCATTTAGTGGGGAAAATAATGCATACTTCCTCTTACAGTCTATTCGTTATGTCCTCTCACATCCATGTTCATTAATACGTCGCATCACCCCAGTCTTCCCGAATCATCTCACTACCCTTCTCAGCCACCATATAGATACTCGCCAAGATATTGGCATCCGGAAGTACCGGTACAATACTGCAATCAACAACTCTCAGCCCATCAACACCATACACCCTCAGCCTACTATCCACAACACCACCATCTTCCTGCGGCAGCATCTGGTTCGTACCGGTAGCATGCCAGTTGGGGATGGTATTCGCCTTGATATACTCGAGGATAGCTTCGTCGTCGTCATCAGCAACCGCAGGACCAGGGCTGACTTCACCAGAGTTCGGGCCGATAGTGAAGCGCGACAAGGCCGGGTGGCGAAGGATAGCGCGCAGGTACTTGAATGAAGCAATGCCGATGGCGCTGTCGGTGGGGTCGGCATAGTAATTGCTGTTGATGAGGGGGCTGTCGGACATGGAAGCACTGCGGAGGCTGACTGTGCCGCGCGATAGCTGCACCATGCTGGATGCGGTGACTGAAATGTAGGAGTCGTTTGATAGCGGCGCCCAGTATGGTGTTGGGATCCATGGGTACCACACGCTCTCGAACAGATACTCGATATGAGTCTGGTTTGCTAGGCCAGCATCAATGACAGCCTGAGCGCCGATGTCGCGTAGTTGCTGCTCGCTGAGCTTTTGGAAGCCGTTTGTGACACCGGAGGGAGCGGTGTATTGGCCGGTCAAGTTTTGGTAGAAGGCTTCCTGAGCAGCGCGCAGATTTTGGGGTGTGCGAGACATGTCCGTGGTGGAAGCGTTGTCTTGCGCACGCGCCATGATACTGAAGACTGAGTGGTCGTTAAGATGATGGCCGACGTTCTCGTTGACCACAACGGGCGTGATGCCGACCTTCATGAGTTCATCGGCGGGGCCAATGCCTGAGACCATGAGCAGCTGAGGGGAGTGGAATGCACCCATGCTGACAATGACTTCGTTCCGCGCTCTTGCTTGGCTTACGAAACCAGTGATTTGGTTGATGTAGCTGACACCAATGGCACGCGGCTTGCTAGTGGAGTTCGTCGACGATGGCTTGCTCATGACGATACCGGTGACAGGAGCGTCATGCAGCACCTTGAGGTTCGTTCGGTTGCGAGCTTGCTGATAGAAGCTGTCGTAGCTGGAGCTCCTTCGTAGCATACTGTCCATAGTCGTCGTTCCATGCTTGACACCTTCGCCGTTTCCGAGGTTGAGATCCTCGACGATAGGGATGTCGGCAGCTTCGCTACAAGCGACGACGAATCCTTCGGTAGATGGTGGAACGTATCCCTGGAAACCTAGCTGGAGCGGCCCGTCGCTATAAGCGTCTTCATTGAACGTCTTGTACTCTTGGCTGAACGCCGAAAGCTCCGCCGTTGAGGTGGGCGCATTCAACTTCGTACTCTTCTTGAAGAGGCGGTAAACATCGTTCCAGCTCCATCCAGGATTACCCAATTTGGCCCAATGATCGTATACACTGGCTGAGCCTCGCGCATAGTAAAGACCGTTTGTTGTGCTCGAGCCACCGAGAGTTCGCCCACGGAGATACTGGAGGGTGCGGTTGTTCAGATGCTCTTGTGGGGTGGTAAGCAAACCCCAGTCGATCACACTGCCTTTGATGAACTGATTGCCTCCAGGCGATTCGTATGCCAGAACTTGTTCGGGACTGGGCCCAGCTTCGAGAACCAGCACGGAGAAGTGTCCAGACTCAGTAAGGCGATTGGCCAGAACAAGACCAGCTGTTCCTCCTACTTAGTGTTAGCAAGGTCTATGGAACGAGTCGACCTGGTGGACAGTATCCACAAGTATGCTCTGTTTGCCGATGATCTCACGCGGCGAATGAAAAGATAAACGTACCACCTGCGACGATGAAGTCGTACTCTTCGTTGAAGACTGGTTCTTCAGTTTGACCTCCCTGGGAAGGAAGATCCCCTGGACCTTGGCGTTTCGCGAATTGAGAGTTGTGCAGATTGTACGTTGGCCAAGCAAAGGCGATGGATGAGAAAGAAAGCAAGGCATATGTGGATGCCTTGGCGGCTGTGAGGTACCGCATGGTGAGACTTCACTTGCTCTCTCTGGTGTGATCAGAACAGACGCTTGCAACTTTCCTCGGGAAGCTCAGCCCAGAATAGGTCGATAGGGCTACACGGCGCTGAGATGACCAGAAGGTATAACGGATGTGACGAGAGCGAGTACATCTCTTTATATCATGACCATCATACTGCCACCGGAAGCTGAACCAAGGCAATGGAAGCCAAGGCCTTGGGTATAGACTTTCCGCGCCTTGGTAAACGCGGTCTCATATTGTAGAGAAACAAGACAAAGTAGCCCAAGACTTGCTGTCAGCCACGCCGTGATTTCCGGCTGACTCCGAGAAAACCGGTGATGCTCGCCTTTCATGTCGTACAGAGTTTCTAGACAACCTTGGAGCTGTTTACGATCAACCCTGGATCCTGGCCCATTGCAAGAGTGGTATAAGATCCGGTGGGTAGGGTGAGACCAAGGCTGCTTTGCTTACGCGAGCAGAGGACGACGAGATGGTAGAAGAACACGTGCAGCATGGCGATGTACTTTGCCACAGTCTTGGTACCACCAGGACTTGACAAAAGAAGGCGATCTGTAGCACCGCGTGAGAACGCGTGGGCATCCTCGTAAAGCGGAAGGCTATGTCTAGCCAAGGCAGAATCGTCATTGCCGAGCCTGGGGTAACGCGAGATCACGGTCCATCGTCGATCTACGTACTCCAATGTAAGCACGCCCAGCGCGTCGGGCCGGAGCTTACAGGTGTATGTAGCATGGTTGATAATGCCAATGATAGGTGCCAATGCAACGACTTGAGGAGCGCTTTCCGGAAGTGCGGGGAAGCTAAGCCACCGTGAAAACGACCGGTGGAGGACAATACGGACTTTATCGGTACATGCAAAAGTATCTGGTCCCCCAGGAGGACCTACGCGCATGAAGAAGGTTATTTGGGGTTACCGAACACGTTGCGCGCTGTCATCTGCTGGATCCGATCTTCGCGTTGAGGCCGGAGTGCTGCTGAACCCGTATTTTGGCATGTGCGTCTAGCCACTGGCTAGTGTAGTAGCCACTGCAGCCTCCTCTGCCGATGAAGTAGAAGATCTGAAAAGTTCATGCCATCGTGCGGGTTGAAGGAGATGACGGCATGTTTTGTTGAGGTGGGGCTGTGTCGTCCAGGTATCGCCCGTTGAAAGCATACATGGATACCCAGGGAGACGCTGCTCATCGCAATATCCTTGAGGACCTTGATTTGGGTGAACTCCGATGCATGACGAAGAGCTGATACGCTCGATCTGAACAGAAGTCGCGAGATTTTGATGCGCATATGCCGGAGGCACGTGGTAACGGTGAAAGCGGAGATGGAAGGATGAAGAGGGGTGTCGCGTCGGACGCGTCCAGCTCACAAGCAAGCCACGTTGATGACATAAGCAAGCCCCACATGATCTGACCGGCGCTGCGTATGTCAACGTTTGTCGCGATACCAACGAGAGTTCCATCCTGCGAGGCTTATCATATTGCAGTTATCACCATCGTCCACTCATTGATATCCAAACCTTCTTGTAGCCATAGGAGCATTCTTACATTGTTAGCCTTTGGCTCCTACACTTCTCGCATCATTGCGATCGCCGGATCTAAACATCGCACCTAGTAGCACAAACTTTGAGCCATGAAGAGTGGATTTATGTGGTAAGGGACATGATGTTCAAAGGTATTGCATTCCTTCAAGGATTATAATTATACACCTGGGCATGATCTGGCTTTGACGCCTCTACCTTAGCACGCGCATCCGCACTCTTTTTGCTCTCTCTAAGCATCTTCTCCAAATACTCGAACAAGATGTTCTCCTTCCTGATTGGATCTTTGAGCGTCTTCCAGTCCTGAGTCATGGTGCGCTCTGCTTTATAAACATCCCTACGATCCTGCCATTCCAAGCGGTTCCAATCACGGAAATCGCTCTTCTCTCGACCCCGCCAGGCAATCCTTTGGTTTGCTCTATACGCATTCTCGTTTCGCGCAAAGTCTTGCTTTAGCCTCTTGAACTGGCGTTGCTGTCCTTCTCGCTCTACGCGTTTCGCCTCAGCTCCTTTGTCCTCTTCCGCGGGACGTTTGCGTTGAGGGGTCGCAGCAGCGGCGTGCGCCTTCACAAATCGGGTTAGCAGCCGCGGGCTGAGTGCAACGTCCGTGATGGACTTGCTGAGCTGTTCTCCATCATTGGAGGCTGCAAGCGCGCGGCGAAGTCGTGTTGATGATAGTGGTTCCTCTTTGTAGCCGACAAACCAGACACCGCCTGTCATACCGAAGAAGCGTGTGGGCACATAACGCAGCCATTCGGTAGATGGCCCTGTAGAGTGGTGACACATTCGTGTCTGTCCAAGACGCCAGATACCTGTGCGTAGTCGATCCTTGATCATCTGGAGCCGCTCGTCGCCTGGATCAATATTAGCTATGGTCGCGCAAGAGAAGGCATCGTACGTACGGTCGACCGGAAGGTTCGCCATTGCGCGCGGAAACAGCATTGATAACTTCTGCTCCAGCCACGTCAAGTCACCGCCAGCTCCCAACTGCTGGATTAAGAGTTCTTCGAGTGTTTCCATGCGCCAGTCGTTGTAAGCTGTCAATTTGCGTAGTCCCGTTTCCGTCTCCATGCGTAGGCTGGTGCGTTCTGGATCCCCGGTACCAACGACTATAGTA